AGAAAAAGAAACCCTACCTCGACCAACAACTTGTGATGGAGGACCTTACCGTTTGCTTCGACCGTAGATCCCAGCGACTACCATCTTAGTGAAAACGAATCGGAAGATGGAATCCAAAGCACACCAAAATCAATTATACCCAAAAAATGCAGAAAAACACAACCCCCCTCCCCCCCCCCCCCCAAAAAAAAAAGCACAGAGAACCATGGTTATGTGGAATTGAAGAACAGAGAAGCAAAGCCGTGGAAGAAACGCGTGATGCGGTGAAAGCCGACACCTCCTACGCACGAAGATAAAAGAAACGACAGAATAGAAGGAAATCCCAACGTGCGCGTGAAATTACATACTAAAATCTGTGTAGGATTTAATCACTAGTAAAATGCCAAACCTACCCCCCTTAAAATAAAAACCCATTAAATTAAAGAATTCACCACGCGGGAATCACAGCCATCAAAATGCAAGATCTGATGGTCCAGATTAGTCCACATGTTTGTACTTTAAGAGGTGTTTTCACCTGAATGTAATTCTATATATATATATATATATATATATATATATATATATATATATATATATAGAAGAGCGCTCATATGCGGCGGGGTCTTACCGTGCGGCGGTGCGGTCAAATTCCAGAATACACCAACAGTGTTAACAATATGCACCAACAGTGTAATAAAAACACACCACAATGAAATGCAATAAAACATCACAAAATACACAACAGACTCAAAAAAATACACTATATAACTCACCACCCCCAATGGTGTATTTCCGAATAGTGTATGGTGTTTTTACTCACACCTAATGGTGTGTGTTTGGTGATGCAGGACTCTGTTTTGTGTGGTGTATTTTCCTAACGTTGATGGTGCATATTTGTTGAACTATTGGTGTTGCAGCACCGTAAGAAATAGCCGCACCGTAAGACACTGCCGCACCTGAACCCGCCTCTATATATATATATATATATATATATATATATATATATATATATATATATATATATATATATATATATATATATATATATATATATATATATATATATATATATATAGCCGCCTCTATATATATATATATATATATATATATATATATATATATATATATATATATATATAGGGTCAGGTTCCTGTGAGGTCAGGTCTTCCCGTGCGGTCAGTGCGGCATACATCATTAGGTATGTAAAAATGCACCACACAGTGTTCGTAAATACACCATTATGTGTGGTGTGTTTTTTTTTGTGTGGTGTATTTTTGACATTTCATTCTGGTGTATTTTCGAACACTGTATGGTGCATTTATACATACCTAATGGTGTATGCCGCACTGACTGCACGGGAAGACATGACCTCACAAGAACCAATATATATATAGGGAAGGAATCAGGTGCATTTGAGGCTTCCCGTGCGATTGTGCGGGTGAACGCACGTTAAGCATTAATCTGACGCACTTAAAGTACACAACACACGCACATTAAGCACACAAACAAAATACCTTCAGAACACAACCTCGCATGTTAAGCACAAGTCCCACTCATGTTAAGTACAAGTTTCACGCATGTTAACCACAAGTCTCACTCATGTTAAGTACAAGCTTTACGCATGTTAAGCACAAGTCTCACGCATGTTAAGCACAAAAATACATGCACCAAGTTTTAAAAACAAGTCACATTAAATACATACGCACATTAAGTACAAAACTTACCCACTTTAAGCACACGACTCACCACATTAAGCATAAAACTCACGCACATTAAGCATAAAACTCATGCACTTTAAAATTTCAAGAACTCACACAACAACTCACATTAAGTACACACTCACTCACATTAAGCACAAAACTCACGCATATTACGCACATTAAGCACAAATCTCGCGCACATTAAGCACAAGACTTGCGCACATTAAGTACAAAACTCGCGCACATTAATCACCCGCACAACCGCACGAAAAAATTTAAATGCACCTGAACCTCTATATATATATATATATATATATATATATATATATATATAATCTAAGGAACCTATTTGAGAAGACATCTCTTTATAGAATTGAAGAGACATGTTCTTTTCCAACACTCACTCTCATGCTGGAGCATATAGGTTATAGGCGTTGAGCTTGTTACAAATATATTTTATTCTAGGACCTCTAAGTGACTTAGTAAGGATATCTGCCAATTGATCACTGGAGTTAACATGGCTTGTAGTAATCCAACCCGACATAATCTTGTCCCTGATGAAGTGACAGTCAATTTCAATGTGTTTGGTTCGTTCATAAAAGACTGGATTCATAGCAATATGTAGAGCTGCTTGGTTGACAGAAGAATATATATAATCTAAGGAACCCATTGAGAAGACAGGACTCTTTATAGAAGAGACATGTTGTTTTCCAACACTATGTTTCATTCTCCACTTAAGAAGAGGTTTATCTGACATTCTGATATGTTGTTTTTTTCAGTTCTCTCTGTGCTAGGGGTGTAAACAAGCCGAGCCGAGCTCGAGCCTGGGTAGGCTTGAGCTCGTGCTCGTTAATGAAGGCTCGGCTCGAGTTCGAGCTCGAGCTCGATCGAGCCTGAGAAATGATGCTCGAGCTCGAGCTCGGTAATTTTCGGGCTGCTCGAGTCCGCAGCTCGATTGTTCGAGTTTGAACTCGAGCTCAATCTTGAGCTCGATTTTGACATTGAATTTGACATATTTAATACTTTTAGTTTAAAATTCCAACTACTTTTTTTTGTCCATACATAAATAATAGAAATCTTTTAGGAATTTTGAGTTTAAAATTCTAATTCCTAATTGTTATTTATATATATATATATATATATATATATATATATATATATATATATATATATATATATATATATATATATATATATATATATATATATATTATATGGCTCGTGAGCGGCTCGACGAGCCACGAGCCTAGAATATCTAGGCTCGGCTCGAGCTCGATTACTAAACGAGCCGTCGAGCTCGATATTGACCGAGCTCGAGCCGAGCTTTGACCGAACCGCTCGTGAGCTGCTCGGCTCATTTACACCCCTACTCTATGCCTTGAAGATCTCATCCCAGTTGCTCTTGGGCGATATGTAATGGCGATAATTTCATCTCTACACCAAACTATTGCTGGCTCTGATACTACTGGCAATCTGTAGAACATCTTCTGGAGAAAATGTTCTCTCTGTTCTTGGAACAGACTGGCTTATGGTCAGATATTTCGAGCTTGTCAGAAATTAAGAGCCCAGAATTGTCAGAAAACAGCTTATTCGGGCAAGTCATTAGTGAATTCTTCTTCATAATAACTAGCTATATGCGTGTTATAACATTTTACTATCCATCTTTTTTGTTTCTAATTTTCACTTTTAAGCCATGTGAAAGAAGTTTCTCTTTATGTATAATAGTATTTAAATTGTTTGGTGCAGATATCTTTATCAGTATATCCAATTATTGGAGCAAAATCTCAAGGTTGAGTCGTTGAGACACTTGAAGCAGTGCATGAAAATAAAGGAAGTTAAAGTACGTGCTATGGCTGAATTAAAAAATTTCAAAAAGATATATTCTGATTTGAGATACTTTAAAAAAAAAATTATCGAAAAATTTCTCAATATGCTTTTACTAAAAGTCCTTTTTAGAATATAGATGTTATCACATCTACCTTTCATATAATAAAGCACATGCATTTATTAGTTTAGAATTTAAAATTGTTTAAATGGAGGGAGGTATTTGAAATTTTGGAAGGGTTATTTATATGCCTATAAAGTGTATTATAATTATAATTTATAAAACACTAATCGTCCGTTTGGTTCACGAAATAGGTCAGGAATGACATAGCATTCCAGTAATAGGCCTATTCATTTGTTTGGTAAACATTTCTATTACCCGGAATAATATTCCTGGTGATAACCTATTACCTCAAATAAGGTAATAGCTATTACTAGGACCCCCTTATTAGCCTATTACTGCTCAGGAATAGATTTTAGAATCTATTTTCTTTTTTACCCATTTCTTTAACCTAATTTTTTATCCTATATATAAATTTATTTTATTTCACCACCGTCGTTGCCGCCACCACCATCACCCCCGCCACCGCCACCACCACCATCGCCACAACCGTCGCCGCCCCCACCACCACTGCCGCCCCCACCCTGCCACCGCCACCACCACTACCACCGCCGCCACCACCATCACCACCACTGCCACCAACATCGCTGCCGCCACCACCACCACCGCCACCAGAACCACCACCCAGCAACACCACCACCACCACTGCCACAACCGTCACCGTCAACCGTCAATCGTCACCATCACCACCACCACCGTCGCCCCCACCACTGCCACCGCCACCACCACCACAACTACCACCCCAGCACCACCACCACCACCGCCACCATCAGATATTTTTATAAGGGTATTTATGTCTTTTAAAACATATTTCATTTCTATTCCTTAAATCAACCAAACACTGTAATATAATTCCTAAAGTCTATTCCTTCCGCGAACCAAACAATAGAATACAATTCATATTCTATTCCTTGCCTATTCCGCTCCTTATGGAATAGCATTCCTATAACGTGCTGTAAAACAGTTAATTTGAAAATCCTAAATTTAATCTTGGGTTACAAGACACTTTTTCTCTTATCTACTTGAAAACTCTCAAGAATTGCAATCATTATACTATGGAGTATGGACCATGGTCCACCTTACAAGGTGGGCCACTAACATAAAGTTCATTTTTAGTACATTGAATGTTCATTTTTTAGTATACTAAATGCTCATTTTTGGCCTTTTGGGTACTTAAACCAAAGGCTAGTTCCTGGAATGTGAGATTATCCTAGGTAATAAAATTACTTCTCAAGACGTAATGTGAGATTACGGAAATGTAAGTGATTGTGAGGAATGAACCTTCAGGTGTATTAAAAGACAACTTTTAGTATATTAAAAATGAACATTTATCGGTGACTATAATGTCTACAATGTGAACCAGGGTTCACATTATAATTTGCCCAAGAATTGATGTTTGGCATAGTGCTTAGTCTTAATTTGCCCAAGAATTGATGTTTGGCATAGTGCTTAGTCTTTTGGAGTAAGTAGATAAGGCGATAAGCAGCACAAAACACAGACAGTTACATAACTACAGTTTGAGAGCATACTAATATTCATGGTGTTCTCGTTGCAGTCGAGGATGAGAAAGGGAACGGGAAGTCCTTTGGCATCAACTACACCACCGACCCCGGCTTCTCACTCAGGTCATTTGCATACTTCCGATATTTGTTTTGAATACACACTGCCAGCTTTTTACTGTGTATTAATGCCAAGATTGAATTGTAGGTGGCGGAAAAGATTGTTGTGAGCGGGAGGCTTCTCCGCTATCTACTATAGTGTCTGCTTCATCAACTGAACCCGACTCTGCACATAAAATATCCATGACTTCACCCGAGGTCGAGAACAAGGAGGGCTGCTGCTGCTGCTGCTTGTGCTCCGGTGCCTGAACCAGCTGGGACAACATCTAATGTTGCATGCGCTTCTGCTTCTCGCAATGTGTCGACTTCATGTTTGCCTGAAGCTGCAGGTGCTAAAGACCCAAATATAACATCAACTGATAAGAACCCATAGATCCTGTTAGACATCCTTACTTACATTCATGCAAAATACAGCAGTGGGGTGGCTATTTGGAATATTATGCCTCATCTCAGCCTAGTTAAAGAGCACCATCTCCCCACTTCTCAACCTGTTTGTACTTATAATCTTCTGTTAGGGAAAAAAGCCTTTTCTGGCCTTCATGCCAAAAAAAATTTGTGTATAGGGGTTGTAGTAACGGATGGGATTGGGAAAAAGAATATTGTGGCATGCCAGTTTATGAGTTGTGACTGGATACACTTGCACACAACCAGTGCAAATGGAAAAATCCACCACACGCTTTCGCCCCTGCATCATACACACACAGCGTATGGTTATATTTGGACCAAGCAAGCAAGAAATATCAATCACAATTTTTACATGTTCCATGGCTCAAAGTATGGAAATTTATCAGTACTCCACATATCCACAAATAAATGCAACCACCTGGAAGAACCAAAATGATATACAAGCACTTGAGCTTGAAATATAAGAGAAATAATAATAATTATGCCACAAATTTGTTCAGTTCGGAACTTGGATGATGATGGGACACTGTATCAAAGTAAATGGGAATATGTAGAGAAACTTACAACTTGTAACAGCATTGAGATAACCAGCCCAACAAGATCCTGCAATATCAAATAATAATAATAATAATAATAATAATAATAATAATAATAATAATAATAATAATAATAATAATAATAATAATAATTGCACACAATGCATAGAAACCTTGAACCATTTCAGACTGCAAGAATGAGTGCATGCAGAAGAAACAAGTGTAAGAGACATACCTGGTGGCCAACTGGCTTAGTGTTATGAATCAGAAAAGAGAGGACAAAAAATACATCTCTTTTCTCCTTGAGCATCTTTAAGCTGTTTATATCCAAAATACCACCATAACTTTTCCGTTTTAAAGAGCCTACACCACCTTGATTTTAGAGATTATCGTCTTCCTTCAAATGGTCTGATGGATTCTCACCATATATACCACTAGTACTGCATTAAGGAAATAATCAAACAAAAAGTGAGGGGCAATGAAGATTACAAAAAGAATAGTACTAGAACTTGCAAGGTACCAGATGAACTTGGCTTCATTAATGACTGACCAAAACAAAAGGATCACTATTCCTTTCCCACCCACAAAATAAATAAATGGTGGATGAGTATAAAACAGTGTACCATCTTTAATAGATATCCACGGATGTATGAGAGAAAGTGTATGCATCAAGAAGTATACCATTACCCTAATATATAGTTCATTTCAAGGTGCTTCAAGATCGTCACAAGGCATTTGCTCAACTTCTCCAATGGAATGTACCAAAAGCCCATATTGTATATAACTACTGTCAGTAGTAGCTCGAGACCAAACAAGCTCAACATATACACCATACACTCTTAAAGCTGGATTGGCAAAACCCTCGAGCCATCTAAGAACAGGGCGAAATGTTTTCCTGAGACAACCCTAACGTACCAAACGCAATTGTACATTCAAACCAGCCAGTAACAAAGCGGTACCATGTGGTTGGTGGGACACACTGGAAATAGTAAACATGTTATTAAAGGAAATAGTAAACATGGACCAATACTTCATATATAAAAAATAGACCCTATCAGAAGCACTAATTGAAGTTCACAAGGCACAAGAAATTATAACACTTGAACGTCAAAAAGATTTGCATGGAAAACATTTGAACAAATGAAAATGTCACTACACTAAAGCAACAATAGGAATGGTACCACACTATAATCCAGTTAGAAATTACCTTCATACAATGTGCGTGATCGACAAGAACGTAAACAAGCATGATCATATTCTGATCTAACAAATTCACGGAGGCGTTGCAACTTCATTTTCTGGCACCATTGCTGCCATGACCATGCTAGAAGATACGTAAGAACATAGAGAATACTATGTAATGCACCTTCCCACCACTGATATGAAGCTATAGCATTGATCTCGTCCACACAAGTACCCTCATATCTGCCAGTAAAAATTACCAATGTTACAAAAACAAAATTTTTAAAAATCCACCATCACCCCCAATCCTTTCCTCTCGTTACGTTCCTCCCTTGCTGCAATTGAATATTGTATAACACTAGCATAAACTTTAACAGAAAAGACTGACATACAACATAAGAAAGAAAAAGCACATACACAATCTCTTTAATTTGTTCTGGAGGTGTATGAGGTAAATGCCAAGGTTCACTGAATGTATTCGAAGTAAATGTTAAATCCACAGTTCCATTCTAGGATAGGATTGCCATAGAAAACATCCAGTCTCACTTCAACTTCAACTTGCAGCACCCACCTCGCTCATAGTAGTTACGTTAAAACATTCATTCTTACAAGAGAGCTGAGGCAAAATCTATCAGTATTCATTTCTTGAGTCCAAGAGTCTCCATCAACATCAATTAACTTGTTTTTTCGATCTCGGCAACTTCAATTTCCACCAACTCTTACTTAAGTAGCCCAAGCTAGCTCAGAAAGACCCGAGCTAGCGCTCTAATACCATTTGTAATGAACCATCCATCCAGTGAACAAATTAAAAGCAAGCAGGGAAAAGTGAAGAGGAAGACCAAGGAAAGAAGAAGTGCAGGTCAGAGAGGGTAGAGAGAGAGAGAGAATTGAGAGAAAAGCTAGAGATACCAATTAATATTAATTTCCAAGCCTAATATAATCCCATCATCATAAGAAAAAGAAGAAGAAAAATATCTAATAACAACTAACTCATCAGCAACAAACAAACTTAACAGCTAGTTCAAGCTAAGCAGTGAAATGGCAGGCACCATTATATTGTCTCACTCATTATTACTGCTTCAACTCAATTCGCCTCAGCTGTTGGGGGGTTACATAATTTGCAGCATTTGCAGCATTTCTGCACCGCTTCTTCCCGCCAGACTCCTTGGTGATTGCCACCATTTGAGGGTGAGGGAGCGCAGCCTCTTCGAATTTGAAATCCAATGCACGGACAACAACCGCTATTTTTATAAATACGATTATAATAAACCATATCATAACAATGATAAGAATCTCCTCCCTGATAAGAATCTCTTCCATTATTCGCCTCATTAGCTCTTGGGGGGTTACATAATCTGCACCATTCGCAGCATTTCTGCACCACTTCTTCCCGCCGGACTCCTTGGTGATTGTCATCATTTGAGAGTGCGGGAGCGCCTCTTCGAATTCGAAATCCAGCGCACGGACAACATCCGCTATTTTTATACCTAAAATTATAAAAATCCTTATCATAACAATGATAAGAATCTCCTCCCACATAAGAATCTCTTCCATTATTCGCCTCATCAGCTCTTGGGGGGTTACATAATCTGCACCATTCGCAGCATTTCTGCACCACTTCTTCCCGCCGGACTCCTTGGTGATTGTCATCATTTGAGAGTGCGGGAGCGCCTCTTCGAATTCGAAATCCAGCGCACGGACAACATCCGCTATTTTTATACCTAAAATTATAAAAATCCTTACCATAACAATGATAAGAATCTCCTCCCACATAAGAATCTCTTCCATTATTCGCCTCATCAGCTCTTGGGGGGTTACATAATCTGCACCATTCGCAGCATTTCTGCACCACTTCTTCCCGCCGGACTCCTTGGTGATTGTCATCATTTGAGAGTGCGGGAGCGCCTCTTCGAATTCGAAATCCAGCGCACGGACAACATCCGCTATTTTTATACCTAAAATTATAAAAATCCTTATCATAACAATGATAAGAATCTCCTCCCACATAAGAATCTCTTCCATTATTCGCCTCATCAGCTCTTGGGGGGTTACATAATCTGCACCATTCGCAGCATTTCTGCACCACTTCTTCCCGCCGGACTCCTTGGTGATTGTCATCATTTGAGAGTGCGGGAGCGCCTCTTCGAATTCGAAATCCAGCGCACGGACAACATCCGCTATTTTTATACCTAAAATTATAAAAATCCAAATCATAACAATGATAAGAATCTCCTCCCACATAAGAATCTCTTCCATTATTCGCCTCATCAGCTCTTGGGGGGTTACATAATCTGCACCATTCGCAGCATTTCTGCACCACTTCTTCCCACCAGACTCCTTGGTGATTGACATCATTTGAGGGTGAGGGAGCGCCGCCTCTTCTTTGAATTCGAAATCCAATGCACCGACAACATACGCAATTATAATAAACCATATCATAACAATGATAAGAATCTCCTCCTTGATAAGAATCTCTTCCATTAGTCGCCTTATTAGCGGCTGGGGGGTTACATAATCTGCACCATTCGCAGCATTTCTGCACCACTTCTTCCTGCCGGACTCCTGGGTGATTGTCACCATTTGAGAGTGAGGAAGCACCTCTTCGAATTCGAAATCCACTGCACGGACAACATCCGCTATTTTTATACCTACAATTATAATAAACCATATCATAACAATGATAAGAATCTCCTCCCTCATAAGAATCTCTTCCATTATTTGCCTTATCAGCGGTTGGGGGTTACCCTTCACAGCATTTCTGCACCACTTCTTCCCGCCGGACTCCTCGTTGATTGACACCATTTGAGAGTGAGGGAGCGCCGCCTCTTCGAAATCCAATGCACGGACAACATCCGCTATTATTATTATTATTATTATTATTATTATTATTATAATTATTATTATAATAATGATAACAATGATAAGAATCTCCTGCCTGTGTGCCATTATTCGCAAGATTTTCCATATCATTCCATTCTTTCATAATCCTGGACACACACGTACACAATAATATATATAATTGAAAAGTAAGTCTAATAACGTACATCAATATAGGTGGAAAAGATAGAAGTGAAGTATATTGTTTTTGACTCAAAAAAAAAAAAAAAAAAAAAAAAAAAAAAAAAAAAAAGCTAATTCAGGGATCCGAGAGAGATTTAATTACATACCGGCTCAACCTGTCCATGAATTCGGCGCAATGCTCCAGGAACACCGTAGATCTATCTATATAGTGTTCCAAGTTGTAAAGGAATTGTTTAAAGTCGTAAAGGAATTCCTTAAAGTTGTCATAGAATTCACGAAACCAATCCGCAAGGAATTGTTTAAAGTCGTACAGGAATTCCTTAAAGTTGACATAGAATTGATGAAAGCAGTCCGCAAGGAATTTACAGCATTTCTGCAGGACGTGACTTTCAGAATCTCCCTTCTTCACCTGCACATCATCTACTTCTTCGCTGATATCCTCCTCCTGCCAGACTTCGGTATAAACATAACCATTCGGACGGCTTAGAGGAACGCCGCCGGTATAACCATAACCATTCGGATAAAACTGGGGACGGCTTAGAGGAACGCCGCCGGTAAAACCATTCGGATACCCCGGGAAATTTGAGCGGGAAATTTGGGAACCGGATGTATAAGGGCCGTACGTAGGAGTAGCGCCACCGTAGTCGGCGATCACCATCTGCACACTCACGTATTTCTGCACACTCACGAATCGAACAAAACCTGCCATGCCTATCTCCCAATATTCTTAAACTGAATTATTCTTTAGGGCTAGCTTCCATTATAAATAAGGTCAAGAGTAAATACTCAAAATGGTCCATCGAGTATAACTAAATTTACAAATTGATCCTCGACTTTTAATTTCAACCAATTAAATCTTTAATTTTGTAATTTTAACACAATTTGGTCATCTGTCTATTTGACTGTTTGTTGACTGTGATTTTTGAGGATATATATGTAATTTCATGGTCCATCGTCGGTTTTTTAAGGTTCCGGTTGCATTTTCAGACCGCACTTTTACATTTGAATCCACTGTCGAAAGCAATCTACCAAACCCGGTCACCTTTCTTCATCCTCCCTTTGGATTCAATGTAGTTGAGTTCGTACCAGAGCGAAGAAGACGACGTGTTTCCGAACCGGTGCAACGTCATCCTGGAGGCCTCCACGTGCTCCGACGAGAACTGAAGGTTTTTCTGGAGATCGTCGATCACGGTCAACAAACGGTCAATTAGATGGAGGACCAAATCGTGTCAAAATTACAAAGTTAAGGACTTAATTGGTTGAAATTGAAAGTTGAGGACCAATTTGTGAATTTAGCTATAGTCGAGGGACCATTTTGGGTATTTACTCTAAGGTCAATGTATATCTTGGAAAGAAAGGAACATAATGAAAAGGAATCTAAAAGAGTAAATACCACCTATGGTCCCTCGAGTTTGGTTGCATCGCCATCAATGGTCCCTAACTTCCGTAATTACCATCCGTCATCCTCCGAGTTGTCAAAAGTTACCTTCTAGAGTCCTTTCGTTACTTCCTCCCGCCTCAGCCGTCAAAATGGAGGGTAATATTGTCATTTGACTTATACGAAAAGAGTTAATACCAGCCAAGGTCCCTCGAGTTTGGTGGTTTGGCCATCTTTAGTCCCAAGTTTCCATATTCCATTATTTTTCTTCTTTCATATTCTCTTCTTCAAATGTATTATTATTACTATTATTTATAGTTATTATTAAATTCTTATTATTATTACTATTATTTAAAGTTATTATTGTTATTAAATTATTATTATTATTGTTATTGTTATTATTATATTATTAATTCTTATTATTATTACTATTATTTAAAGTTATTATTGTTATTAAATTATTATTATTATTATTATTATTGTTATTGTTATTATTATATTATTAGCATTAAATTATTATTATTATTATTATTATTATTATTATATTCATATTATTATTATTATTGTTATTGTTATTATTAAATTATTATTATTATTATTAATATTATTTATTGTTATTATTATTATTATTAAATTCTTATTATTATTACTATTATTTTATTGTTATTATTATTATTATTAAATTATTAAATTATTAAATTATTATTATTGTTGTTGTTGTTATTGTAGAAATGTGCAAATGCTATATAGGATGAGTGTATGTAATAAAATCAGAAAATTAGAGAAATAAAAATCTGGAGGAATGAAAAAATGGAAAACTGAAAAAATGGAGAAGGACAACTAGAAAAATGGGGAAAGAAAACTGGAGAAATGGAGAAATAAAAAACTGGAAATGGAAAAACAGATAAATGAAGTAAACGACCCTTATACATTTGTAAATTTTCTTTAATATTGTATAGGAGAAGAGGGAGTTCGAGTTGGAAGTTGAGAAACCACCCACTTTCTTTAATATTGTTTAGCCAAGTTTGGGACTAAAATGGCCAAACCACCAATAATAATAATAATAATAATAATAATTTAATAATAACAATAACAATAAAAATAATAATAATAATAATATAAATATGAATATTATAATAATAATAATAATAATAATAATAATAATAATAATAATAATAATAACAACAATAATAATAATAGTAATAATTTAATACTAATAATATAATAATAACAATAACAATAATAATAATAATAATTTAATAATAACAATAATAACTTTAAATAATAGTAATATAATAAGAATTTAATAATAACTATAAATAATAGTAATAATAATACATTTGAAGAAGAGAATATGACAGAAGGAAAATAATGGAATATGGAAATTTGGGACTAAAGATGGCCAAACCACCAAACTCGAGGGACCTTGGCTGGTACTAACTCTTTTCGTATAAGTCAAATGACAATATTACCCTCCATTTTGACGGCTGAGACGGGAGGAAGTAACGGAAGGACGCTAGAAGGTAACTTTTGACAACTCGGAGGATGACGGATGGTAACTACGAAAGTTAGGGACCATTGATGGCGATGCCACCAAACTCGAGGGACCATAGGTGGTATTTACTCGAATCTAAAACATATATCTACTATCTACTATACTAATACGAGCCAAAGAGAGTTAGGCCTATAATGGGTAGAAAAAATGGCGGTCAGATTTTTTAATAAAATGAATGGCTCAGATTGATCAGATTTTAATTTTTTCATAAGATTTCCTAATTTATCCTTAATAAATATGATTATCCGTTAACTTTTCCGTTAGATATTATCTTTTCCGTTAATTTCTGTTAGTTCACCGTTAACTTACTCATTGATTTCAATAAGAAAGGTTTTAGGTTCGAACCCCATCCCAATCAAAGTTGGCATAATTAGTACTCTATTTTACTTCATTAAATAATAATTTAGTAGCTACAACAAAAAATAATACATATGCTTTCTTTAATTTAGAATTATGTGTGATAGTGCTAATTGCCACGTAAGCAGTAATTAACACAAGCACGACCAACTAAAGCAAGTAAGACTTTTATTGATCAAGTGAAAGACTTAAGTACAATCTAATGACTGCTCGGGTACCGACTGAATGTGGTCGGGATGCTCTGATAACAGTCTATCAATCGTCCAAAAGATCCTCACACAGTCGCAATGAGGGGTATTTATAGCCGCGGCGCCGGAGACACAACTCCGGGCTTTCCGGCCAGCCCGACACGTGGCGAAACACGTGTCATCCTCTCCGGTGCCTCGCTGTCCCTGCCAAGGGTCGACGCGTGTCTTTCCTCAGCTTTTGCCCAAGGTTCCTCGGTCGGGAATTGAACACGTCGATCGGGCAAGGATCGGTCGGGAACCGACCGGGTTTCTCTTGAGAATCCCGCCCTGTGATCTGCAAAAAGAGGAGGAAAGAGATGAAGGTGCGCCGGTCGGGTAGGGCCCAGGCGCTCGGGGTATTCCCTATCAAGAGCCCCCCAGCCCGAGCCTTTTCGACCGTTCGGGAGAAAACGGGTCGGGGTGAAGAAGCCCAACCGTCGGCCGTCAAACCGACCGGCCAGCTGTCATTCCCCCCTCTGCCACACGTCAACGACTGCGGGCCTCTGCGACTGGAACGGCCGCTTCGGAATCAGTGCTAGTCGTGTCACGCAAGTGGGCTGGGTTCCTGCCTAAACCTTCACCTATAAATAGGCCCTTGAGGCTCTCATTTGAACTTTCTCCAATCTTCTGAAGCAGTCGGTACCCTCAGAGAGTCCCGAGAAAAGCACTCAAGCAGATCGGTCGAGCAAAGGATTCTCAAGCGTTTTTCAGCAAAGTATCTTCAACCGGCAAGCTTTCTAGCTCTTAGCTTTTACTTAGCACTTTATGTATGCATAGGGTCGGTAGGTTATAACTAACTGACCCCTAACATCCCGAGTCTAACACCAATCCCGACCGACCTTTAGGTAGATCGAAAATGACAGATTCGGATAGTCAAAACGTCTCGGTCGCAGACTACGACGAGGAAGTAGAGCACCTCAGCGAGGAGGAGGTAGACATCATGTCTTACTCGCCCGAGGCTATTCAACGACCGGGGAAAGCCCCCGAGTGAGCTGCCGAGCAGCAGCAATCTTCGAGCTCGTCCGGAACATCGGGGTCCAGCTAGAGCGGGTCAGGAAGTTCAGAAGAAGAAGGCGGGGAGACTTCAACAAGCAGGCGAGGTTCCCCGACCGGCAACGCTAGGGAAACGCCAACCGGGGTGATTGGGGATCACCCGGAGACCGTCCCTCGGGGGGACGATCAAGAAAACATTCCCGAGCTGCCCGAGGAAGAGGCGGCCGAGCCGGCCGCTCGGGTAGACGACGGGTTTGAGTTCCTGAACAGCGAAAGTGTCGCCCAGCAGATGAGCGAGTTAACCAAGGGGGAGGCGGCGCGGATCGCGGAAAGGCTCACCGGTCGGGTAGAGTTCGACACTAGCCGTCGGCTCGAGAATGTCATCGATCGACATCAGGGGAAATGGATTGGGATGCATTATGACTCCCTGATGGCCCCGATCACCTTCCCGTTTCCCGCTCTACTGACTGCCTTCTTGGGCTACTACCAGGTCATGCCGGCCCAGATTTGCGCAAAATCACATCGCATCATCGCCTGTTTCCCGCAAATTTGCGCTCGGCATCAGGTGACCTGCACGATGGAGCTCTTCAACTTCATCTACCAAGTGAAGAGCCTCTCGGGCAACTACGGAGGCGGGTTTCTGATGGTACAATCCCGGGAAGGAATGTGCTCGATCGAGAGCCTGCCCGGGAACAATAAGGGATGGAAAAAGAGGATCTTC